TTAATATAATAATCATTATTATATCGTTGATATTGTTGTTTACCTATGAGTATATATCGTAGGTATTTTGTTTTATTTGTTATTTTTTAAATATAAGTATAGGATCATTAAACTTTTACTTATGACTTATAATACTGTAAGAATATGTACATTTGCATAGTTAATTATCTATAATTACAGAACATATAGTTACACTTTTTTCTCCTTAAATATAGGCCTCAAATGGGATATACCTACAAATTTTTACCATATACATACAATTTTTGTCTATAGCTAAATGGCAAAAATGCTGTAGTGAATGAGAGCAAACAATAATTAATTATTATTGCAAAAATTTATAATTAATAAAAATCTACACAAAAAATACAGACGAAACAACGCTAAAAATGACTTGAGGTATATTATAAATAAAATATAATAATCATAATTAAAAAAATGTATAAAATTTTTGCCCAACTTAGTTATCTTATAGGCATACTTGAACAAAAACCGCACAATACACTACTAGAATTCATTATTTCACCGATGAAAAATCACCGAGGAAACAAAGGGAATGACGTCAGTGAAACAACCTTCCGACTTGAATCACGTCGACAATGCCTTTGTCGGTGAAAGTGGGCTCAGTAATTGGTTTACCAACGTGGATTAAAGTTACATCGGTAAACCTACAACCAATTACCGACAAGAAATTCCTCTCCAATATTAAGCTGGAACAATAATACCAAAGCCTTTTATGGTATTCCACGTGGGTAAATTATCGACTAGAATCATGTTTGGAAGTTTGTTTGGCTTTTTTCCTCTCACCAAATCACCAACGAACGTAACGTTGGTGAAGGATTCTTACTGAATTAATCTACAAAAAAAATAGTTTCATTTACCGACAAAGATAACATCGGAAAAATAAATATACAAAAATAAAAAAAAAAAGTTTCCCGAATTAATATTGAAATTAATATATACTTTTATTTAATTCAATTAATTTACAGTTAAATACTAAATAATTCATAATATTCATTAGCATAAAATAAATATTATATGAAAATTTTACAATAGAAACAGAAAATTATTGTCTTTATTTATTTAAATTAATGATTAAAACTATGGTGATTAAAACATTATTTAAAAAAAATATGATAAACTGAAAATATAACAAAATAATCCAAAAAAAATTAAACATTACCTCAATAGATAAATAATTATAGAACACCATTTCCTAAAAAAAAAAAATTAGGTTAGTATTTATTTATAATTGTAACCAAAATGGCTCTAATCAACATATAAATAAAATTTAGTGTTAATTTGTATAAATAAAATTTACTTACCAATGATTATCTCCTAATGTTTCCTAAAAAACGAAATTTAAAAAAAAAA